ATTCCTACATAGGAGGATTTGGTACATGTTAGTATCAGCCCAGTTCTCAACACACCCCAAACTGTACTGGCAAAACACAGTAGCAGTTAACTAACCTGCAGTTACCTTCTGTAGGAGATGATACAGCACAAGAATAACTTAATGGAAAAATCATGTAAAAAGCTCAAGATGGATTTTCAGAGAAGAGACACACAATCTGCAACCTCCACTTCAACTTACATTTATTCATATTTGTTTTCTGGCATTCTCTGAACTGGCTAAAATAAATACGAAAGGCCATACCTTTAAAACATAAGCACTGTAGAGTTCATTGCAACTGCAAATTAGACTTAAAGATATTAAAGTGCCTTCAAAATCTCCTTTTTGTGCATTACATATGTAGACATACCCTTAATCACCACTTCACAATTATTTTTATATGTTACAGTAAGACTTCAGATGCTATCAGAAAGAATTTTGTATTCCTATTACAAGGTCCCCAGAATCAGTCTGCCTTGTAAATGGTGGGAACTGTTCAATTTTTACAGGGATAAGTGGCAACTGCTGGCTCAGACCCTGCCTAAAGACAGTTCTGTAATTTCTCTGGCCCTCATCAGACAAGGTCTCAGGAGAACAGAACAAGGGCTCAATGAGGCCCAGAGGAGATCTATGAAAAGCACCATTGCTGCTGCACACTACACTCCCAGATTATACTATGGCTTAATGGCCAGAGTGGGAATACAAATACCTTAGCACCAGCATCCATCAGTAATGACATTTAGGGTATTAAACAACAGGCATGACCTATTCTGGAGAAAGCATCAAAGCCCCAGCCTGTGCTGAAGAGATCTTGGGTCTCATGCAGGTCCACCACACTAGGAGTTGCAACATCCACAGATAAGATTTCTATTTAGTTGGAATTGTACAAACTAGTACTAGGGCAACACAAGGAAGAAAACACACTTGGCAATTATAGAAAAAAAAATAGACTATCAGAATAGAGATTAGGTTGACTTTAAAAATTGTCTTTATTGAAGTCAGCACATTCTAGAGAACAGATCTGAAGCCATATAGCAGAGAGAACACTGGCATTTGCGTTGTGAAAAATAAGTCTCTGCAGACAGCATGACGACAGATGACCTTCATTCTTTTTGCACAAGTCTGAGTTTTTTTCCAATTTCATCCCACCTTTCAAGCTGAAAATTGTTATGTTAATCAAGAAACAGGTTTACTATGTTTTCTTTTTTTTTTTTAAAGTAGAATTTATCACCTTTAGAGACACTGAAGCAAGCTACCACAGCACTCATGCTGAACTCTTGTTTTTAGAGATCCTAAGTATTTGAAGAATAGAGCATGCTGAGGAAGTAACTTCTACTTCTAGTATGGGGAGCTATTTGTGTTGAAAAACTCAGGTACAGAACACTGAACACAGAGCACCACTACTGAACTACAGCTATGTCCTCAAGTCGAGCCCACTCTCATTCTAAAAACCCACTGATACAGCTGCACAGACAATTTCACTTTCATTCTTGTAAACTGGTACATCTGTACAAGAAGCATTTTGCCTTCCCATTTATTCCCCCCACCCCCACCCTTACAGGGAGCAAAGGCCTTAAAAGTAAACCACATGGTTATTCGAAAACAGAAATTTAAGAAAGACACCTGTAAAAAGGTACCCTTTCTGAACAGCAGTGGCACGGCACATTCAAATACTGCTGCATGATGTGAATTTACAAAAGCTTTGATTCTACAAACAAGCATTTACATCAGAAAAGGTAAAAAAAAATCCCAGCCTTTAGGACAAAGTACTTCAAATTGCTGTCTGCCTGAATTAGAAGATCTGGACATTTTGAACTTTAGTTCATAGCTTGAAGAGTAGCTAAAAGTTAAAGCCCTTCTTAGTTCTGAAATAAAAGCTTACTTTCTATTCAACAGCAATAAAGACTCTAATAGTACTAGCTTTAAAAAAAATCAAGGACATTCAAAGATAGTATATGACTTCTACACATCTTTATTCTTTTTTCACATAAAAGTGAAAAATTTCTTAACTAACTTTGTTATATAGCATGAAATATATTCCAAGACTAATCAATGCAAACTAATCTTACAATATGATTAAGTCTAACAAGTCAAGAATCTTCCCCAGAAACCATAACCTTCTATCACAACATAACTGACATGGGGGAAAAAACCCAATCAAGTGGGTAAAAACATCAGTCTTGTGATTTGGTAAATTGATTACATGCAGCTTATCTTTATCTTCTTGCAGTAGGATCTGCAAACTGCAACCAGCAATAAGACTGGAACTACCTTTTGGTTATCTGATCCTAGGATCAAAAATTACAGCTACTCCTCAGCACAGCTGCAGGAATCCTGATGATTTATACAATGGAGCACAGAAGGCAGAGACACATCACTAAGGTAATCTCAACCATGAAACCGAATGGCCTATTAGTAATACAAGCCAATAATAAAAGCCCACATAGGGTTGATTCCCATGCTACAAGTTATACCCCTGATGGGAACTGCTCTCCCTTGAACATCACTCAAAACAGTTCTTAAGCAATCCAGTGCAAATGCAAGCTGGTACCCCTAGATATGATAGTTGCACAGAGGCAATACCCTATCTGAAGGACAGGTTTTGGTGAGGGTTTTTTTTGTTTTGTTTTTTAAATCTACTGGAAATTATAATATCCGTTTCCCTACCTTCAATTCACGACCAAAGACAAGCCAAAATTAGTTCTGCACTTGCTACGCCTCTAAGCAGCAAACTGAACAAAAACACAGGTTGTACCAACTAGAATACTCCACAGTTCCAAGGAAAGCTACACACTTTTAACAGGTTCTGCGGGTAAACATTTCAGATGACTTACTCTCTCTTGCCTCAGTAATTGCTGTCACACCCTTTCAAGGGGTTTACAAGTATTGAACTTCAATACTGCAAGCAGGCTTCCACAACGTTAGCTTCCCAATTTCAAACAGCATCCTTTGCTATCCCTGTAAGTTACACAAGGGCATTCAGGGACAAATCTGGTTATGTGCCATGTGTATCTCTGAAAAACTGGCATAATACATGCAGGTGAAAGAGCTTCTGAAGATGGCCCAGATCTAGATTAACAAAGCGATGTAAGGAATTCCTTAATATGCAAAATAAGCACAGGGAGAATACTGTTCTATCAGATGTATGTTCCTGGTTTAAGTGGAAATCAAATGCTACCAGTTTCTGCTTTGTTTCAACTATTAGCACATCAAAATCATCGTCTATTAGTGAAAGCAGAACTACATAAAAAACAACTTAGGTGAGTAATTTGGTTTCTCTTGTGTCTGTTTTTCCATATCCCTTTTCCTAGGCTCATCACACACCCTTTCTCTCAAATGACAATCATGCAAGTGTAGTTACCTAAATCCTCACCCAATATCCAACCATGGACAAAACAGTTTTACCCAGCAAACAGGCTTCTAGACAATTAGTTAGTGGAAGACAATTTTAAGGGCAGAAAGAAGGCAGCAAGCTGAATTTTAAGAAAAGGATGAAAAAGAATTTTGAAGACAACAGACAGAAATAAAAATGGGAATCTGGAAACAACCATTAGCATGCAAAGCAAGCAGAATCAAGAAGGAAGCAGTGAAGGGAAACACGATGCAATCCTCAAGTATGAGCCTGAAATAGAAACAACAGCTAAAAACTCTTCCCTTCTCTGAAGGTGAAAGCAGTATGACTTAAGATTATACTCACTTTAATTTATCAGATGATTCCTTATGAGTCATATTCAAAGCAATGTAAAACTTATCCCACAGTATAAGCGTTATTATAAGCCCTTACGGCTTTTCCTTTCTTGGTTCTAACAGCTTCCAAACTTCAGGTTACTGCTTTGACATACCTATTACACATACCTGTTTGGAAGGTAGGATTTGCGCCAGGATACATATTAGGGGAATAGGCAGGAGCAGCTGCTGCATAGCCCATTGGGAAGCCAGCTAGAAGAAAGAATACGTCAAAATTATTTTCTAGACTGACTGCACAGTCTAACTAGACTTTACTCTCAAAGATTCTTGCTGTATATCTTTTAATTGAGATAAGCTGACAGATGGCCTTCGATCGCACTTCCTCAACTAAAACACTGGGCTCCTCTTCTCCAAAGCCACCTGCAGCTGAATGCTAGATGAAGGGAACAGCCAAGGAGTCACAAGTGCCATTCTCCCTTACATCCCTGTTTCAGCAAATCTCAAAGTTGGCCAAGTAACTCTCAAGTTAGTTGGACAACAAAGTTTTGTGCAACTATCCAACCCTCCTCCCCCCAAGTTTTAGGACCTGGTGTACACAAAATATTTATCTGAAGGGACTTTTTCCACAGAAATAAATCGCTAGAAGTCAGAGTGACTCTGACGCTCCAGATCAGAGACATCACAAGTAGAGAGTACAAAGCAACCTTAGGTAGTCCAAAACGCTTGTTGCATTTGACACAGATTTGTTATTACACTCAGGTATCAAACAAGCTCACCAGTTTCAGGGATGTACTATGACAGTTAACAGTAACAAGTGATTCACTGAGGTATCAGCAAAATGATAGGTAAACACTTCTACACCAGAATACAAGAATCACTATGGCTGAACTAATATTGCAATATACTGGCCTCCAACATAAGGCAAAAAAGAGCATTAGCAAAAGCTACAGTTACTTGAAAGATAGGAAGTTTGTTTAGATTGTAATAAATGAAATTTCTGAATTAATCATAGCTATTAATTTTTCCAGGAACTTATTTACATTATTCCAAACTATAAAACTGAGTTATGTCTGTATTTAGAAAGACACAGTTACTACCACATTTTGTTATCAATGTACAAAGATTTCACCTTCTCCAGATAAAAGACAATTACTATTTGCATATTCACTGTCAGGCTTAAAGCTTCTAATTTTAAACTGCTATTCAAATCTGAAGGGTTTCTATTTTGCTACAAATCCCAGAGTCCTTAGCAATTACTCCTAACAATAAAAATTCCTTAGCTCAGGACTACAGATGCTAACCTAGCTTTGTAAAGCAGTCTGTAAACATATCAAGTGACATGCACTTGGCACTACTATTAGGTGGTCAGCATGGATAAGACTAAGAAAAGCATTAGGCTGAAAAATCAAAGGTAAAAATAACATATCCAATTCATAACAACTTTTCAGAGTGTAAATATGTCTTAAAATTTCAAATTCACAAGCTGCTAGTGAAAAGCTTTAGTACAGCTTTACACATTACTCAAAATGACTACACATCTGCAATATTATTTATATCGTATACATTTTCAGTCCTCTCTTTCTTTCTTCACAGGTTTAGCTCCACAGTAGAGGACGCTAAGCTGCTCAAGCAACAAGTCCTTTATGAAAAATGTAACAACAAGCAGCAGTTTTAACTTCTACACAGAACTTTCATCCATGACAGAACATTTGGATAGTGAGTCCTTGGTACAGTAAACCCATCCAACAACATCAAATAGGTGTAGTATAATATAAACAGCTATTAAATATGCAACAGCTTTAGAAACACAGCGCCTTTAAATAATACATTCCACCTAGTGATATGTTCATTACTTTATATTACCATGCAACCCATGTAAATTGAATGATTCTGAATGGAGAATCTGTAGCTTTTAAGTTAGGAGACGCACAAAAGGGAGATGTAGTCGTGAAACATTTTTTTAAAAAAAGTCCTAAAATACAAGTCTACTTTTCATTTTAGAGAACGTGTTTTGTGTTTACCCCATAATGTTTAAGCATGAACCAGGCAGCTCAGCAAACTACCTGCAACAGCGTAACACTGTAGAACTTACTGACTAAGCCGAATTCAAGGGTCACAGTTGTGCAAACTGACTGACTGTTGTGAGTTAGAATTTTGATCAACTTGTAGCATAACATTTAAGGCACTTCTATAACAATTCTACTTCAATTCTATACATTTTAGTTACGCTAATTTACAACCAAGTGAAGACTGGCAAATATACAGTACTTACATAATTCAATATGTAGTCTAATATGTATAACAGTAGAATAAAATATTAGAAGTTGTAATGCTGTTTAAATTGCTATTCATGAATCTATAATAGTATATCTTCCTAAGTAAACTAAGGTACCACTTAGATTAGTATAAACAGGAGCTTCAATGCAAAGTGTAAACGGTTATAAGCATAAATGAAACCCTGGTTAATATAAGTCTGTGTTTAGAAAATGAATAGAGATAAAAATACAGAATTATATTTAAATAATTCATAATAATCCTCATCTATAGCCTTGAAAAACCAATCTCTTACAAATATAGAAATAATTGTACTGTGATATTAATTAGTAAACCACTGCTGCTTGCCTTATTATAAAAATTACTGTAGTCCATGTAACTAAGACAGTTAGAGAGAGTAAAACCATCCTGCGGGACTTATGGTTGCACAGCATCAGCTTTACAATTTATTACTGCACCATTTCAGTCACTCAATAGACTTAAAAACCTTGCAACACAGTTTGTGTTTTCCCCTTATAAATATTGTAGAAATCAAGCAACGTACACTAGTTTGAGGAAAAAATTAAAAGTACCTGAAGAGCAAAAACTAAAAATTAAAAGGTTTTTGAGACAATCAAGTGAACAGCAAAGAAAATTAATTTATGCATCAGCATTTAGAAGAAGGAACAGAGAAAAGTGGAACAGGAAAATAGGAACTCCGGTACGCTACCTAAGCTGCAAAATGAATTTAAAAACTGTAAATACCAGTAGGAAAAAACACTACAGCTACAAAGAATATAAACAGTAACAGCACAGAATGATTTCTAGTTCCCAACACAGACAGCAACTAAATCACAAAACAGCCTCCCTGTAAAAGCTACAGAAGTTTAATTGGTTATGATACATAAAATCTGAGCTGAAAGACTCTCCAGCCTCTCCCATGATGGACTAATTGCCTTACTCCGCATATATCGGAAAAAAATAGAGTGCATCAAGACATACTGCTTGAAATGCCTCACAGAGGCACACAGCCCTTCTCTTTGACCTTCCGGCAAAGTTCTGTCCAAATCTAATTATTGTCTTATCCAACTTCTGAACTATGGGGACATCAGAAATGAAGCCTGCTCGTACACACATTAGGAGATAAGGGGAAAAAACCCTGGTGAGAAACTTGAAGCCAAATGAGAAGCAGAGAATGCAAGAAATACATTTAATCTCTGTCTTAAAAACATTTTTTTGGCCATTGTCTTGGTCCCACCTTTGATGCTATGCTTCAGGCAGTCACAAAACAGATAACAAGAACAAGAATTAGAGGATAGAAAGGTTAACAGCACCAGCCAACTAGCAGCAGAAATAGACTGACTCCTCTTCTTGCAGGGCGTAATTATTAGAGCTCCTGAAATAAGCTGCTTTCAAAGAGATACTGAAGTTAGAAATATAACAGAACAACTAACATCACTCTTGAAATGTCACCTTTTAAATTTAAAAAACCCCACCCAAATCCCAAAACAGATTGAAGCCATTCATAAGTGACTATTTCTTCTTGATTACAAAGATCAGTGTAACTGAAACTCATTAAAAAACAGAGTTACTTACCTGGATAACCAATTCCTTTGGCATTTGCATAGGGAACCCCAGAAGATCCAGGGCTATACACAGGATTCATGATTTCAGTAACTGAATCGGGGGGGAAAAAAAGAAGAAAAAAAGTATTTACTCAAGTATAGGGAAAGCTTGAAATCTCAGCAACAATGGGAACTGGAAATGGGGGAAAGCATACTGGAAGAAAAAGTAACAGAGAAAGAAGTAGCAATTCCACTACTCATCAACATTAAAACTGTAGCTACAAGCAAGAGAGAGGCACTGCAGAAATAAGTTTCAAAGCTTCATAACCCTCAATTGGCTAGAGAATGTCTCAGGAATGAAACATTCCCTGTTGTGGAGCATGCTTTCAAAGTATTTCCATCCATAAGAGCTCCCCCATGGCGTGCAAATCCATAACCCACTGCAGGAGTTCACATGTGTTGGACTGCCCCCCATGCCATCTATCAATCACTTATCTATCTACCATCTATGAACCTTGGTTTCTTCTCATTTCTTTTCTGAAGCAACTAGCTAAGGGATGCAAATACTTATGGTCTATTAACTACTGGCATTTCAAGCCTGGGATTCCAGTCCTTTACCAGCACTAAATTCATCCACCATCAACAGCCCAAGTATTACAGAAGTAAGCTGTCTAAACTGGAAAGTCTTTTGCCACCAACTTGCATTTATTTATGTGTTTACTTGCTGCTAAGTTCTTCAGAGCCTATAACAAGCTGACAGTTGGGTCCAGTCATTTCTGAATTGCGTATTCACACACCAGAGAGACACCTACAGCTAGTATCACTGGCAGGAACAAAACCAAACCCCCAGTTTTAAAAAGGATCTTGTGTGCAAACACCAAGCAAAATAAAATGGCATTGAAGACACTTCTCAAATTTTTCTAGTACACCTATGTACTTCTAGGAATATAAATCACTGCAGCACAGCTCACAAGCAAGCCCACCACGTGCCTCTTAAAAGAATACTGTCTGCAACTACTACTCTAATATTGTTGAAAAAAATCCCCATATTTTAACCCCAGTATCTTCAATCTGATTTTCTGCATATATTTACAGATTTACCACTTCTCTTCCTGCAAGTGCCCACTTCTCACTACAAATAGCCTCTGATGGCAAGACAGGAGTGCACACTATGAAACCAGACTTTCCTATTAACTGTTAATATCTGATACTTGAGTCACTTCCTCTCCTGCATCTTGAGATGCAACTTACTTAAATGAACAGCACGTTAAGCAGTTTAACACAGTTTAACAGAATTCTGTAAATAAAGTTTATGAAGCAAGAAAGAGTCATAATTACACATGCACGACTTCAGTTACAGAACACATTATGGCAGGAATCTGAGTTAAGTTTATCAGTATAGCTGCATGGATAAACCTATGTTAAGCGACTGCATAAAGCATAAGTAGTTTGCTTTTTAAAGTAACACTAAAACCAGCTCTGTGCCAAGAGTTTTAGCAGCACCTAGTACACAACAGAAATAAAAGAAACATTTGTGCAAAATTAGGAAATAAAAAAGTAAATGCTGTCAGAAAGCTTATCATCAGGTTTCACAAAACACTCAAAGTCGCTCTAAGAGAATGACAAGATTCACCAGTTTCTTGGACTTCCCCGCCCCCCCCCACGCATACACTTAGCAATAATACTAACTTAAACAGAATTGCTTTTCTTTTTTCCAGCTTCATACTTGATTACATATCAAGACAAGAATGAGTTAAAAAACAAACAACCTGCCATTTACATTGCTTAGTATGAAGAAAGTTCCGCAGAGCAGCATGTTTTAACCACCTGACCAACATCAAAAAAGCAGTTTGACACAAATCTCTTTGGAAATGTTCTACAGCAAACCAGTCATCTTCAAGTATGAAGCATTATTTTCCACTGAAGCCCCACGGAGTTTTAATAGCATTAACACTGCAGCACCATAACCAACAGGCATACTTTGCTGGACTAATATTTCACTGTAGCAAAACTG